TCGCCGTCGTTGTGCGTCAAGCTTCGTCGGTGCATTCAATGCCTTCGGTCATATCTTGCGCATCACAGGATGCAGCATAGCAGCATAAAGGTTTATCTGAGTCTTGCACCATGCTTCTCCTTGAAGTGTTTCCTAGCGAAAATCAGAAGATCTGCATCAAGTCGATTGACAGCCTTAAAGCTTCACAGGAACAGCAGAGTTATGGTTGCAATGCTTACTCGAGACCAACACGAGAGAGACTCTTTAAACTGCAGCCTTGGCGCCAGAATCTCCTTCCGAACCTCATGAGCCACTCACTCCTTTTTGAACATCTAATTGCCGCTGTGGCTAGCTGATGTCCTGCTGTAGCCAGCACTTCGACAATGGCTTAACCTACTGACTACGAACTCCCGGCTTCTTGGACGTTCCCCCGGCTCTGTGACTCAGATACAGAGATGCTGTGTTGGTCAGGAGGCATCGTCATGAAGAAACTCACGCCAGAAGTTGCTGCCCGGACCATTGAAGCTCAAACGTCGTTGCCCTCAGCGGTGCTGCAAAAGCTGTGTTTCTGCTGTGGTCTCTGACTCCTTGGTCACTCAACTCCCCACACATCCCCCCTCCTTCGACGAGTCTAGCACTGCCGCTCGGCCGAATTTGGCGAGCCTGCAGGACAAAACTCTGAAGCATATGCAACCTTGACAGTGCTGGTGCTGTGCAGTCTGCATCGATTTTGAGACTGAGACTCTTACTCCGCACACACACACACACAAAAAAAAGAAAAGAAAAGAGAGAATAAACTGGATCCTAAGCGTAGCTTTTGAATTGTCTGACATGTCTAGCCTGGATTCGAGACATAGTCTTTTTTCTAAGTTGCCTAAGACATGTGATATGTGGCTTCGTCAGTGCAGGACTTGGATCTACACATAATGAGCGATCATCCGGAAGAAGAGTTACGTCAGCTACATGCTCGATAAAGGTAGTGACCTGATTCGATCCGGTGGCCTTCTCCATGACCGGTCGCCACACATGCAATGCCTCACCCCAATTGTGAACTCATGTATCTTGGCATCTCTTTAGACAACGACTCTCAGCCCCTGGCATGGTTGTCCTTGGCAAGCTTTAGAGCCGCCTCAGCGTCCCACCCCAGGGCCGGCGCTATGACCTTAATGGACTGGTCGAAGCAGTCCTGAGCACTGAACAGGGCGAGTTCGGACTTCAGAACCGAAGTTGCAGACTGGAGGCTGTTATGCCAAAGGCATCCAACCTTGGACTCTCAAATCTTTGCAGACTAATGCACTTGCACGTCTGGCCCACAGGCGTACAGGCAAGGCGCGTCCGCAAGTGATCCTTGGCCTCACCACAGCTCACGGACGCGCACTCGGTACACCCCCATTCAGTGGCACCCAGTGCGGCTAATTGCCAAGCCAGCTGGCATTCTCCAACAAAACGGCTCCATCTTCGTCCCATTTGTATGCCTTCGAAGGATAGCCGGAGTCATCCTGCCCGCCGAGCCCCGCTGCAACAGCCCTGCTATACTCGGCTGGAGCGCCTTCGGCTTTGCGCTTTCAAACCCGCAGCAGACGTCCTGCTCACAAATACATGCATCTCCGCCACATCTTGTCGCATTGCAGCGCACTCTTTGGAATCCCAGCAGGTACAACCTGCATGGAACCAGCAAATGCGTTTGGGAAGAACCAGGATGCACACCTACTGGCATCTTCAATTCTGCGTCCAGACCACGTCTGTCTGTTGCGTGATGGGTTTCCAGGATGCTGCAGATACTGGTGAAAGGATTGGTGGACATCTTTGATGCCTCAGGAGAGAGACGGAATGGAAAGGCAGTCAATAAACAGACTTGAAACCAGCGCAGCAGCCTTCTGTAGTATCGTGCATGCTTGTGCTTGATTCCAACGACACTTCAACGACACTCATGCCAGTCAGACTTCCAGCTTGGGGCTGCTACCAAGAATTGAGTCAAGATCGGGGAGATCAGCGGCATGTACGTCCCATTGGTCAAACGTAAGGAATTGACGGTGCTTCTCTCCTTTGCAAAGCCGTGCCACTGCTGCAGCATCCTACCCGATGCTACATGGTACCACTGCTGCCACTGCTGTGCTCAAGTCTGTCAAGGCACGCAGCATGAAGTATTCAGACCTCAGCCAATCCTACACGACAGAGACTTTCGCGGGTCCGCATTCCGAATGATTCGAAGATCAAGACTGCTGAGCTTGGAACATGATCCTTTCCTTAGGCTGCCGACAAGTTGGATGAGACATCCCGGCATGCTTGCTGTGATCAATAGCCTGTGTTTGGGGCTCTCCTTAGCAGCCGAGCGTCAACTGGATCACGTAGAAATGTCACAACACAACCGCGTCCGGGACCACTTACAAATTCACGGGCGTAGCCTGAGCTTCCCAGCATCGCAGGCCACATGTCGCGCCAGTCGCCCATGAAAAGGCAAGTTGCGGTATTCCAAGTGATAATAACCAAATCTGGGTTCAACTTTTGGTCTCGATCTGCTAGTGGAAAGAAGCTTTGGCGGCCAGCTCAACACTTGCTGACGAGCTGCGGAAGAGAGCATTTGCCCATGCCGCGTGCGCACCTAAGGTTTGATGCAAAGAGCATGTGCAGACTGCTCAGCTCAGGATCTGAACTAAATCAAAGGAGGATCTCCAGTCCCGATACCAGCTTCACTCGCTTCTGCAAGCAAAAACGCAAGTCGTGTGTGTAGAGCAGGCGAGATTCAATTGCTTCCAACTCAGGTGTACAGGGCTTTCACTAGGTTTCACTGAGTGGATGATTCTGCGGCAAACCACAGAACAAGCTCACGGCACCTCTCCCAACTTCGACTGCAGATCTGCCCAGTCTTTCCGCACATCTTCGACATGATCTCTTGCCTTGTATGAGAGGAATGCAAAACCGTGATCCGTGAACTCACGATTGCAAAGGAATTAGCATGCCGCCATTGCTGGCCCTCATCCCTTGTCGGTCTTCTCGCTGCCATTGCTGAGACTCTTACCCGAATGTCGTGGAAGCCGTCCTCAGGACAACAGCCATGGCAGGAATCTCACGGGACCGAAAACACTTGCTCCGAGGCTCTTCTGAATTCGAAGGAAGGCAACTTTGGTGCACTTCTGCTGTGTGTCTTTCGGCAGCGGAGCGGCCTGTGCAGATGCTTCGGTCTGGCTCACATGGTACTTCTGGACCAGGTGGCTTCAATCCGAACTTGCACAAGGCATGCCTGGAGATCTTTTGTCGTCATGGGCGCCAGGCCCGTGGTGGATGTCGTCGAAGGTGATGCATGCGGCTCATCACGTGCAGAAGCTGGCTGGCCAGCAGGCTGAGACAACGCCTGACATTGCGAGCATTGCAATGTCACGAGCACGGCAACTCCGTTTTGAATCGAGGAACACGATGAATGATTGTCACTGCATTCACTTGACGGATCAAGCATGTCCGTCCACTCCACCGCAGGTCCGTTTATACAGAACTACCCAGGAGCACTCTAAGTGGGTTATCGGCCTCCTTTGAACGGGCCTTTGGAAGTCGTTGGGGGCAACAGACTTCGTGAAGCAAGCGGTTTGTCAGAATGTCCTGGCCAAACTGCCAGACCAGGCCCCCAGCAGGCCCTAGGCTACTAAACCTCCGCCAGCCCCTGACTTGCCAGGCCAATCACCCCTTCCAGCCCTGTCCCCCGAAAGGAAGTCCAGGCCTGCAGATCCCAACCCCCCAAACTGCCCCAAACCAGACCCCCCCCCAGACCCAGGCCCAGGGCCCAGCATCTAAACACATCTTCCTCACTAGGAGTCGCCCTTCCACCATTGGCAATGTTGGCAATTACGAAGAAACGATTCACGCACTGCTGTACTCTGCTGGCTACCGATCACCGTCTCAACCGCCTGTGGGGGTTGCTACTTGCTACGTTCGCGACAAAATAGAAGCCTACATGGAGTCTCAAATTATTCTCTTCGTAACTGTCGCTCCGAAAACTCTCGCCGCCTTCCCGGTCGCGTCTCCAGCCACAACCACGCCAGGTTGCATCTGCGCTTTGCATGTATGCAGGTCAGACTCTGGGACTTCTCTCTCCACACAGATTGAACCTCATGCCTCCAGTGACAAGCTGAAGCTGAAGCCTTGTCAAGTCGCAGGGGTTAGGGTGATGGCGCTCGGTCACACCACATGAGGCGACAAGCGAGCCTGCGAAGATGAGCGAGCCAACAACTGCGGCCAGCATTGTGCTGCAGGTAATGCAGACGACCGGGCTGGAGGTCCATGCCGAAGCTGCATCTCGTGGTTTGCGCCGTTGCCCTTTGGCCATCACCGTTCGTCGATACCAAGAGAGTGCTGTCGGGTCGGCATCAGCCATGAACTCGCAAGCGTGGCTGCCACGCTCGGCTTCACGTCTCTGGCCCACGTGGCCATCTGCTCCAAAATGGACGTCTCGACACTTAGACTTTGAGGCCATGTCATGGTTAGAACATGTTAGAGCGTTCCTATCAACCCGCGCAAGGGAGAAGGCCGGGGAAGGTTGGTTTCAGCTGTCTCGCAACATGTTTGTGTTCTCAACTGCGGCTTGCATCTCTGACAACTGGCGATCGTCACAACATGGTGTAGACTTGAGGCAGCATGTCTTCAGCACCAGCGTTTTGCGCGCTAGTTTCTGCGGCGCTGAAGTGATAACAACTACAGTTGCGGTCAAACTGGTTAACCTGAGTGTATCATCTGGGATGAGAGAGTTTCAAGTTGCAAGTGCGGTTGAAGATGCTGGTATACCATTAAATCAGCAAGGAAGAAAGGTTGACCTGAGCACGTAAGACACAGAGATGCGCGCATCGACGTCATCTCACCACCGGATCAACCACAAACGCACGCAGGCCCAGGAAAGAGGAAGAGCACACTGCTTAGATCTGAGAATCTACGCTGAGCTGACGCCTACTGTGCCGCACAACATGCGGCGTGCGGTGCAGTCGGGCCTCCAAGGACATGAGACGTGCACAAATTCACCGTGCAGTTTCGCATGGCTAAAGCTCTTTCATCGTGCACAGCATGATGAGAGAAAGGAGCACCTGCAACCAGATCCGAGCAACTATGAAGAGGGCAGCACTGCAAGGTTCACTGTCAGTGCCTGTACACTCCCGCGCAAGACTGGTGCTGCGCTTGTTGTGCTTTGCCACGAGCAGCCTGTCATCATGCACATTACACCGGTGCATGCCGCACTCGCAGTTGCTTGCATGTCTTTCATGTGCTCGTAGCGCATAATGTGTAGCTGCGCGGGCAGCCCGCAGCGACACAGCTTCAAGTACAAAATGGTCCACGCGCCTCGCTCTGCGATGGGCTGCTCCAACCCGGACTGAGGACAGCAAGGAATATGGAAGGCTGAAGGGTGATAAAGGATGGATTTGCTGGCACTACAAATGAAGCTCCGGTCAATCAAAGACCTCCGAGGTTGCTGCACAGAAAGTGGTGTTCGTCGGATGAGCATACATCGCTGTCTCGACCTCAGACATGGTTGAGTGCAGAAACACTGCACCCGGGACTGACTCGGAGGCTCCGTGCGAAAACCGACGATACGCATGTGGCCTCAGGCCCATCTTGTGGCGAGAAGCTGCAGGCATGCAACAACGAGATGCGCACCGAGCAGTCAGTCAAGTTGGCACCACAGACGTTCTCGTTGGAGCACTTCGCCTTGCTCGCGCAACACAAAAAAAACGGGGAGCAGCAGAAGTGGTGGTACGTGCATGGAAGCTGGAAATTGTTCCAAGCTCACTTCCTCCTCGCAGTCCACCGAATCGACAGCACCTGTCACAGCAACATGCATGGACTACAATTCTACAACATCCAAACCGGGAAGCGAGCACGAACAACTCCGACCTCGCATGTCCACATTGAACAGGACTGAAGCATCGTTGCTACACCTTCTCAGAAAGACACGAGATGAAGCCCAAACCGTCAGTTCTAGGGAAACCTGCAGAGACTGATGAAGGCTCGCACGGCTTGCAGCTATGCTGTCCAGTTTGGTCTTGGTAGGTGCCGCCAGGACCTAATATCTCCAGTCATACTCTTCGCTCTTAGATGGCCTCCGAGCTGCTTCCTAGGCATGTCACTAGACTCGATCCAGAATACAACAGGCTCGATTCGATGTGGCTCACATGGTCTTCTTCCGGTCGCCGAGTTACACGGGATCTTTTCATAGCCACGTGAGAAGTGCCTCCAGGTCTCGTTAGTGTCTTGCATCAATGAACTCTGTCGCTGCGGGTGTTTGAGGTCGAAACCCTGGTGGAGCGAGGCAACAGCAGGTGTTCAGCTCTGAGTTGCAGCTGCAGGCATCAAAGCCTTAGGCACTTAGTCGTAGCAGTCTCAGGACCTTTGCGGATCTTTTCACATTCTGCGGCCCTGGCAGTCCCCGTCGCAGAAGTTGCAGTTGATGCCTCTCCACTCCGGTCTTTTGTCTCTGAGGGCATGTAGCAGTCTAAGGCGAGGGCATCTTCCGTCTTCGCAGAACCCGCCACCGCCCGTCAGGACTTGGACGCGCACCGGAGCACAAACAACTGCTTATGAGATCTTGGCCCATATTCTCCGCGTGTACATACAGTCGCATGCATGGTTGACTGCTGGACCAAGCAGCCAGTAACAGTGCTCTGAGCGACCATGGGCAGCAGCAAGAACCTCGATCTGGAGGCTCGGTTAACTTTCAAAACACGACAAGAACAGCCTGAACTCCATTCCCTTGTCCATGTCAGCTTCTCTGACGGCTCTGCTCGAAGAAAGGCCGTCAGGGCCCCGACCGACACCATTGTGCAGACATTCGAGGCAGGGCGACGAAACAGTGCACCGAGCCTAGTCCTAGCAAGCCCAGTCCTAGGATTCGTGTTGACAACATGTACTTGATGATGCAGCGAGATGCCGCTACTGAATCTGAGCACAATGCTGCTGAAGTATGACACTAAATCTGTCTGACTGCTTTGATGTGGCAGGCTAGTTTGCTGACTCGAGTGTGTCAGTAGCATAAACCGAGACAGCAACGAGGGTCAATCTTTGCAACCGCATCCAATGCCGGTGCAGTCCCAGAAACTTCGGAAACGTGTGGTCTTCCAGCCTAGGCTGCTGCGTCGGCAACAGAAACAACTCTAGTCACAAGAGCTGGGAGACCACACTCCACTGCATGGGCCGTTGAAGAACAAGGCGACACAACCGGATCTAAAACCGTTTCATCCTGTCACAACACCAGTGCTCCTCGTCGCAACCGCTGTAGAAGCATGCTTGAGCAACGGTTTCATCTCGGCAATCTAGCAAGCCAAGTACAGAGGCAGCACACTCTGCGAGCTTCAGTTGCGCTTTAGCGGATGCAAACTACCGAGACTCATCTCAGAACACGGCGATGCAGGAACGATCTGAGAAATGAAAAACAACAGCCAAAACATCCGAAAGCCTACAGTATCATACAGTATCTCTGTCATTCGGCCCCACCAACAAATGCCATGACTTCGGGCAGCTTGTGTTGAACACCTTGCTCTTGGTCTTCCCACTTTTTGCAATTCCGCGCGCACATGAGTTCCCTTTCCTGTAGAAAGGAGACCCAAGCTTAGTTTCGCATATCACACATACGAGCTGAACATCTGAACAAGAGCGAGTCAACATCTTGCACCCACAGCTTTGGCAAATGTTTACCACCCCAAATTTAATCTGCTTGGATGTGGGCGATGCAAACACAGTTTCATGTTGTGCAGAGCCTTCCAGCGTGAAACAGACGATCGCATCATCACTTCCATAACTGAACGGATGAATTCAGAAGCCATGCACCTCCGGTCCTTCCCGGAAACTGGATAGCATCTATGCACATCAGGGATGGTTAGATATGATGAAATGATGTTTGCTTCAACTTACAATCACACATGAACGGAGAGAGCAAGACAACTCCGTCAGTGCATGTAATCCTGGTCCAACCAGCCACCCACCATCTCTCACTGAGCTGAAGACTCCTGAACAAGACCGATATGTCCGATATCGTGCATTACTTCCTGACCGCAATTTTGCTGAGATATGCGCAGGTGGAAAGAGCTTGTCATAAAGGAACCTGGACAGTGCAACACAGCCACACTTCCAAAACGGGTTGGTGGGGGGGTGCGGGTGGCGGGCGAGCGCGGGGTGGCGAGGCAGGCGGACGGGCAGTGCGTCTGTGTTGGGTGGATGCGCAGTTGGACAAACGATGTAAACGGGCCGGGCTAGCTGCAGAACATGCTCGCTGCTGAGCAGCAGCTCTACTACCTGTGGCAGGGCCACGTAGCTGGGAAAGCAGACTTTGCCGGCACCACTTGCACCTTGCGTCTGTCGGTGACAGTAAAATCATCCAGCGTCGGCGTTTGTGCCTTTCGGTTCTGCTGCTTCTGCTTCTCTGCGAGCTTCCCAAGCCACACATCACGGTAGAGCCCAGGCAGCCGGCCAGCTTTGCGAGATGCGGTGGGAGAGCTTCTGGATACCCGCGAGCTTTCCCCTTTCAAGCTGGCTGCCGCACACTTGTCTTGTCATGAACAAGCCAGCCATGCGCAAGTGTATAGCTGACGTTGGGTGGAGTCATCTCAGGGTGGCCTCCCCGCCAGCACGCAAAGCTTTGTTCTGCTCGAGCGCCGCTTTTCGGCGCTCGGTGATCTCTGTTTTCACCTCCGCAGTCACACTCTCACTTGCTGGTGGCGATTGGAGTGGTCTTGTCGCGCAAGTAACGCAACAGAACACAAAGAAGCTGTTCAACACAGGGAAATTTCAATCACAATCACAAGTCCAAGCGAGGGGGACAAGCTGTCCTCGCCTGATCCACGCACTCGAGGAAGAAGGCCTTCTTTCCGAGTAGCTGCTGTTCAAGGGCTAGTGGAAAGCAGCACTCGTGTAGACAGCCTCAAGCTCCGACGGCTCGGTGAACTGACGGTCCGCAATTGCTCGCATCTGGGCGCAGGCCACGACGGTGTTGGCAAAAACGGACGCATCTCAACCGTCAACGGATGAAGGCAAGTCAGCCTTTGCCGCTTGCTTTTGCTCCTGCTGCAGCTGTTGCTTCAGTCGCCTCAAGGAGTGGGCACGCAGTTCTCAGCTCCCCCAGTCCCTAAGGATGCCGCCTTACAGTTGTCTGATACTTTTCCTCCAGTTCCTGATTTCACTTTTGCAAAGTAAGACAACAGGAATACCAGGAACTCGAAAGCAGAAATGTGGAGAGGTGCAGCGGTCCTGCGAGAGGCCGTTGAATGTGGGGCCTCGCATGTACCAACTTCTTACATCCTATTTGGTGATTGCGAAACATCGACCAGTAAGGCTGGCCTTGAATGGTCTCAGCGTCTTGTGGCAGATCCTGCAGGAACGGACCCGTTTCAGCAGGCATCTCCCAAAGAATTATGAACTTCCTGAGCCCGAGCAACTGGCGGTCCTGCGGCTTGGCGGTCTGCTGCCTCGGCTCGACACATTGGGCGTTGGCAAAGCACAAAGGATCTGAGGCTCCCGCTGCTGACCGTCTTCTGCTGACACAAGAGCGGCATATGCCGAGCTCTGAGCCTGACTTGCACATCTCAACATCAGGTCCGCTCGCCTGATCTCTCTCAAGCTGCCTCACATCCCGCTGAAAAATCCGTGGGCACACCCACTTCGACACTACGGACAACGGGTGTCAAGAGGAAACATTTTGTAGGATCTCCGAGCGAGGCTTTTCGGAGTGGACCGTCAGCATGTTCTACATGGCGACAGCACCATCTAGTAAACCTTGAAATTCACTTTAGTGGCTCGCTCTTGGTGGCACTGCTCACAGCTTCTCTTCAAGACATGCACCTTGAGCATGGAAGAGCATGCTGAGATGAAGGAAGCAAACCAGCTGGAATCCGTCTCGGAGCCAGCCTATCTGCGACAAAAGCTCTACACAAATTATTGCCTGCTTGTGGTGGCAGAATTTTTTGTGTTTTCCGCAAAACCTACCACTTGGCAAGTGACAAAACCTGCATGCATCACAGGAGGGTATTTTGGATTGAGTCCTAGGGCTGCAGGTGCTCCGGGTCATTCCGGGTCCCAAGATCGGAGCCCCAGAGCCAGGCACACATCTGGGGCGATTGTTCAAAACCTGGGGGGCCCTGTGTGGCGCTCTCTCATATATCGAACGCACTCAAACAACATTTTGACCAATCGCCCTGCTCCATCGTGTGATGCGATCTGTTCTTAGAACGCCTGTGCGGCGTGGGTCTCAAAGAGTCTGCCAGCGTTCTGGAGGGAGCTCGAATCGCAGAAGCAGGTAGACAGGCAACCTTCAATAGTCTCCATGCGCAAGCAACGGCGTCAGCCGTTCACAACGATGCGTGAGTCAGCTCTTCGGGGACATGCGAATGCTCGACATCTGTCCTCGGCTGAAAACAAGCTCTGCACATACTGACGAGTTTACCATCCCAGAACAGCCTGAAACCTAGCAAAACAGGACTATTCCAGTGTTCGAGCAGGGTCGGGTTCCGTGTCGCACACGCGCTTCGCTTGCTTTGCTTGCTCACCTGTCGACTGAGCGTTGCAGTGTACTGGAGCATCTCCATCTGCTGTCCACCTGCCAACGCGCATGCAAACACTTTCTGGCGAAAGCAGGAATGTGTTTGTAGCACTCGTAGATGGAGCCTGCAGCTGATGCTTGCTGCTCGAAGACTTCCTCTGCTGCATTCTTCTTGTACCAGCTGCTCTTGGCATAGTCGCCTCGGAAAGGAGAGAATGGCACTTGAATTTATGGTTGGAACACGTGTGAAGCCAAATTCATCCATCTTTCCGACCTCCCGGTCCCGCCTCCTCCTATGGAATCTCATGCTCCCGAACGAAATGGGAACATTCCACGCATCTCTGGTTGTCCGGCCATGAATGCACAAGTCGAGCAGCCACGAAAGGCTGTCAACTGATGTCCGTCGCTTTCAAAACTGTGCAAGCTTCAAGCTTCTTCCTCCGACATCCGCTGGGCGGCGGGTGGCCGTCGGGCTGCGATCAACCGTTTGCTGGTGCAAAACGCCCGCATCGATTGCGCAGCGCTCGGTCCCCGAGCGCATGCGTCCTGTGAGTTCGACGCTAAGCCTCGGTGTAGCTTGCTAGCTTTGCTTTCGCAAAAGGCGCGACCGCCTGTGCCGCCGACCCTGCTTCATCGGACCCTCATTTCTCCACCAGGCCGGGCGGGACCTCACCCGGAACACGCACGCGTTTCGCACGGTTCGGTGCCCCCGTGGACGACCCCAGGAAGCCAGCCGGCGAGCACGAGCACTCGGGGCGCCCACAACCGGCCCTGCAGCGCGAGGCGATGTTTTGCCAATTTTTGGGTGAGTTGCGGAAGCTCGCAAATGCCGCGCATCATCAGCATCAGCGAGGTTCGGCGGAGGGGTGGTGCGTGGCCTTGCTCCGGGCTTCTACCTGCGCTGCCCGCCCGTGGGCGAAGCCCCTAGAATATGTGCAAGATATAACAAGAAGACGTGTCGGGAGACTGCAGAAGGAAAGTACGCCATTCATGCAGTGACTTGGCTTGGAGGTTGAGTGTAGTTCAGGATGGCGGGACAGAAGAGCGTCTTTCTGACGTTCGATCGTCCGGTTTGCCCTGCTCTGTTTCTGCAGTCGTCCTGGTCTTTTCACCACCAGGCGCACACATGCTTAGCAGCACCAAGGCTCCGGCTGGCCATGAAGGCATCCAACGCCCTTCCACTCTTAATGGCTTCGCGGGGATCGTGTTGACAGGCGTAGCAGGTGAGCATCAGCATGAACACGCCTAAGGCAAGGGAGACCCAAAGTGCGGTCGCATCCAGTGGATATGCGAAATGGGCGGTATGCATGAAGAGCTGGTTCCAGGGCCACATGAAGATAGCCTGAGAAAGCCGGAAGAGGAAGGACTTTGCAGTGGTGAACGTTCCTTGCACGTCTGCCGGAACTAGCTTTGCAAGCAGGTCCGGCGCAAAGCCAGTCAGAGCAAAGGAGGGCCCTCCGAGCAGTGGCCAAACAACGTAGACCAGGTAGCCGTGGCCGGCAGGAATGAAGCCGCAGGCCACCCCGTACAACATCGACAAGACCTTAGCTGTGATGCAACGATGCACGTGCCTACCTGCTCACGCGCTGCAACCACTGGGAAGGGCACAATTGAAGGGATCCAAACACCGCGCATGTCCCCAAGGCGATCCACCAGTTTTGGCACGGCCAAGGTGGTCAACCACGTGGCAGCCCCTGCCAGAACGGTGTGCGTCATCATCCTTAGCATCGAAGGCATCGAGGACGAGAAAGACATCTCTCTCATCGCCGAGAATCGTGAAGGTGTCAAACTCGAAGCGCTGATAGAAAGACATGTAGACAGATCCTCCTCCAGCAGCGATCCTCAGATCCAGTCCAGCTCTGTGCGAGTCCTAGCACAGCCACATGACCACTGAGAGTTTAAAGCCGAAAGGCACGTAGCCCAAGGTCCGGATGGACATCAAGAGCCGAAGCTCGTGCGTGGCGAAGACACGAAGATTGTTCCAGGGCTGAATGACCTTGGACATCACAGCAATCAAAAAGGAGTCTTCAGTACTCTGAGGCCCTTCGGATCGCTCGGCAGGGCTTGCATGAGCTTCATGCCTGCAGTATGTGCGAGGCACCCGCCAGTTTTCCACCACCAGCTTCCGGGTGCTCGTGCGGAGCTCCGGTTTGATTGTTTCGGGGAAGGCCACCGCCACTAGGACCGTTTCGAGCGACAAGGCAACAGACCTTGGCATGCAAGATCTTCCAGGAGTACGAGATCAAAAACCATGTTTGCAGATTTCAGCTCAGGCAAGTGCCCCATCAGCATCATTAGCCGCAAACTGCCATCAATGGCCCATGGCCCATCCCAGCTAAAATGCCCTGGCTGGATGCAGTGATGCGCCCCGCAATGTTCCTGCAAGACGGCGTGCAAAGGGCATCGGAATCAACTGCATCGAGCTTTTGAGAACAGGGCCTTGTGTACAGTGTACTCGTTTGGAAGTCCAATGCCAACTTCCCCCAGCTTAATAATGGCCATCCTCAGCCCGGCAAACCAAGCTGTAACACGGGTCATCTTGCGGCGCATCAAGAAGCACAGAATATAATGCCCTGGCTCCCAACCGCCATCGCAAGAGCAAAGCCCATCTGGCCCACGATGGCCAAGCGCGCTTTTAGGCCTGTTACACCACCATGCTTCAATTCCCACTCGTCCGCGGAGAAGATGTCACGAAGCATGGCGTCTCGAATAGGGCCGCCAACGTCTGAAACCAATGCCAGCACCTGGCTGTGGCCAATCATCGGCACTTATTCCAGGCGATGTTCAAGTCTCCCACGTCTGCACATGCTTCATGCCCTCTCTGTTCTCTTATCCATTGATTTCTCAGAAGTGCAAATCCGTCAAGACTACCTCGAGCCTTGCTTCCGTGCAGTTGGACCGCCATACATAGGCAGAGGATGTCAGGGCGTTTGCATTGCAGTACTGAAGAGAGGTTTTAGGCTTGAGGAAGCTGAAGAAGTGGGGAGCGCAGAAGTGGGGAGCGCGGCGCCTGCAGATGGACTTTGGGGCAGATGCCTGGCCTAACCGTTGAAGTCTTTGACACTCGGCGGAATTTCGGGGTGCGACCCTGTGTGTTGAGGCAGCCAGTGTCTGCCCCCAGGAAAATCTAGGATATTCTTGGACGGCCTTCGTGAAGATGTAGACTTCCACAGAAGGCACCACCGTCATCAGCCAGGCCGAAGCAGAAATGGCCACACTCGAAGCCAGTATGAGCTTCTTCCTCGAGACCCTGTCTGACAAGACCTCAGTCATGGCCATGCTTGATAGCAAGCCCCGTTTTTTCCCGAATTCTAGCTCCACAGTCTGAGGCCCCGACACCCAAGAAAGGAAACAGGAACGCCTGAACGGCAAATTGTGGAGAGCCGGTCAGAACTCGGAGAAGGTCGAGCTCGGTCAGGTCGTTCAACACCTGCTTCAGATTTTGGCTTTGGGCAAATTTAGGGTGTGAGGGTGACTTGGAGCTGTGGCAGTCCAGGTCAGAGCACCACACCCACACTAAAATGCTATGCAGTACGTCTTTCATCCTGAAGCCTTGCCGGACAATCATATCTTCCCCGCTCATTTGCTTGCAGTGGGTTTGCGCAGCCCAAGCAAGTGGTACTGGCAAGAAACTGAGGTCCAGACATAGTAGCGGGTGTACTCCAGAGCAACGAAGGCCACCCAGCATCCGCCCATCACTCGTAGTACCAAGCTAATCAGAACTAGTCTATAGCACCATTTTGGTGTCATGCCAGTATATGCCGCAAACTGTGCTGCATGAGCATCGACCTGGGATCAACCAATATCGCACTAAGACTCTCGCAGAAAGACGAAACCAAAACCTGGGAACACAAAACAAGGCAAATAGCTGCAAGCTTAGAAAGCATAGCTAGTTCAGCCCAGCAGTCATCTCGGCAGGCTTCCGGACTCACTGCTTTCCTGCAGCCGTCATCCGACCTCTTGTCGCTACATGACTGGACTCCATGACCCATCCCGCTCCACTCTTCCGGGGATCTCTCAGTCCAGCGAAGCCAGGCGGCTTTGTGGGACTTTCCTTGCCATCCGGGCCTGGAGCTTCTGAGATGTTGGCCTGGGTAGGGGGAGCTGGCACGCGCCCCACAGTCAACTCACAATGAATGCACCCCAATGACAAGAGGGTTGAGACCGAGCGTCAAAGATCTCGTCACCCTTTGTGACTGTCATGAAGCAGCTGTCTGCTTTTTATTATGCTGGCACACAAGTCTGGGCCTTGCCCTTGATCCAAAGGGCTCAGCGAGCAGCCGATTCGTCGATGGTCTACTGACTAGTGCTAGCGCAGCACCAAGAACACACAAGCACACTGCCAAGGCCACGTCCTCTTCCACGGCACTTCTCAGAGATTTGTTTGTCCTGGCACGCGAGCTAATCGAAGAGTTGTGGCTGATGCAGTGTTCAGCGCGGCCTCTTGGCTTGCTTGATCTGGTTCTCCAGAAACTGCCGATCGTCCTCCAACGCCTGGAAGGGAAGGTGCTACTTTGCACTGTTATCTACTCCAAGAAGCGCACACCCAGGCAAGGCGACCTTGCAGGCACCGGGCTTTGAATGTGTGCGCATTCAAGGCGTGCAGGTGACGAATGCGCGGTGCGAGAGACGAAGTCAGCCGTCAGTGCAAGCAACCGGCACAGCTAGGGCAGCATGCGCCTCTGCTTTGCCCTTCCACTTGTCCAGCTCCTTCACTAGTTCGGTAGCTGCAGCATGGCAATCTGTATGGCCCACTTGGAACCTTCTTGTATTTCTTGACAAGCTCATCCAAGCGCAAAGCCTTCAATGGTCGGCGTAGACAACAACATTTCTCGAAGCCCGGGGCCAGTCTGTGCCTCGTTCATGAACCAGTCAAGCTCCTTATAAGTTGCATGTCCGACACGCTGACCACATCGCTCCCCTGCCAAATAGTGCCAGCAGTCCTTTTCCAGGGACTGGATCTTTGCATCCCTCCTCGTTTTTGTCTCCTCCTCATCTGCCTGACCCAAGTTTTTGCTGGAAGTCATGTCCGCACCCCACGCACCCCCCAGACACTCACTCACACAGACACAAACAAACACAACACACCACAGACAGACAAGCCATGTTTGCATGAGCCCCTCCCACCCTCCGAAACTGCGAAGAGGCTCCGATTCGCCTTTCTTGCTGGATGCGGGAAGCTGCACAAGAAATGGCATCCCTCATGCCGCTCGAGTTGAGTAGACTCGGGCAGGAGGTTCCTTCCAAACTTGCGCCAAACTTTGCCCAACTCCCGTTTGGGAATGGGTGGGTGGGAAAGAAAGTTCATGTTTCCGGTTGGAGACTCGAGACTCGAGCATAAGATTACCACCGACCCTCTTGCAATCGGCGGTTTGTCCTACACAACAACTTCGCTGCGCTCACATGTTGCTGCGCGACAAGCCATGTTTGCATGAGCCCCTCCCACCCTCCGAAACTGCGAAGAGGCTCCGATTCGCCTTTCTTGCTGGATGCGGGAAGCTGCACAAGAAATGGCATCCCTCATGCCGCTCGAGTTGAGTAGACTCGGGCAGGAGGTTCCTTCCAAACTTGCGCCAAACTTTGCCCGTCATGCCTCTGGCGCGCTCTGTAGACACTTCTTGCATCCCGTGGGGATGGATTTGTCTGTCACAAAGCTGTAGTTGGAGAACCCGAAAGGCCAACCGCAGCCGGTCTTCCAGAGATGGGGGGTTTCTCCTTCGAAGATAGGATCAACTGCATGAACAATTCCGCTTCTATGCGAACGGATCTTCAACGATGGAAAACTGCACGGTGGAGTTGTCGTGTGGGCTTCCGCAAGGACAGTCTGATTGGCAACCAACTCTTTCACTGCAGCGAACTGAACTTGCAGGTCGTCTTTGAGTCTTGCATGTTCAAGAATCAACCTTTCCACAAGCTTATCGATATCTACTTGTGGTTTAGCTTCACCTCTACCAAAGGAAGGCATGCAGGCCATCGCTTCTTTGGCATACTCCAAGACTACATCGGACTTCCATCTCCCTAGATGTTTGACTTGTTGCAAAGCGTGGCCTTGCCGGATGTAATGCAAAGCTCCTGACCTCCGTGGGGAATGCCCTGTCGTCTCTTTGCCAAACAAAGCTTGCCAAGCCTTGACTGTGGCTTCCTTGCTTGCTTTGCCTCCCCCCGAGGTTGGGCACAAGGAACCTGGCCCCTTCGTGCCCTTCGCGAGGTGGAAGGCTTTGGCGCGCTCGACCAAGTCAGCGGACACCTTGAGCGGGCAGTGTTGGGAACAGGCACCCTCACAGACGCACTGCAAAGTTCTCAGAGTTCCTTCAGCTTCTGGGTCGGTTTTCGACTCTGCTAGCCAAAGTTGCACGAGGCCGCCACCTGGGAAGGAGACGTCGTCGCAGTCTAATGCATTGAGCTCGATTTCCCTCAGGATCCAGATCGCCGCGAAGAGGAACGCTTCCTTGGCGAAAGGAACACTGTTGCAAGCCGTTCTGCCCCTTTTAGTCCGAGGTTTACCGGCAGCACAGGCGTCTTGTAGTAAGACTTCCTTCGCCTTCTTCCGAGGACCAAGATGCCTCGAGAGACTTTTGTTACACAGTTGCATTACTCTGTCAAGTTGGTGGGTCCAAGTGTGCCCTTGCTCAATGTGCACTAGCTTCAGTTCCAACAAGTAGGCGGGTCCGGATCTGTACTTGGCCTTCTTAAAGATCGCAGCCACGACTTCTAGCGTGCGGGGTCGCAAGGGGAACACAGGACCATTCTTCTTAACCTTCGACGCCAACTTGAGGACGGTCTTACGTCTTGAAGACTTAGGCTTCGAAGTGGTCACAGCAAAGTAGTCCGTCTTCAATTCTTTGACAGCCTCTGCCTCCTCGCTAGGAGACAATGGCGACAGCCTTCGTTTCGGAGCCCTTTTCGAAAAGACTGAGGCCTCATTTGCATGCTGTAGATTTGAGGTGGCGGGCTCTTTCCCTGATCCAAGCCTGCTTCTCTGCAACAGTACCTGTGACCAAGGTCGGGTTGCTGGAGGCTTCGGAGGGAAGGTGTTGTCTCTGCTCACCTCCTGAACTGACGTGAGGAGTCTCTCCAGACCTGCTCCATGTGCCTTGTCTAAAGGAGCAACCGAAGCTGAAGCAAGCCCCATCACTGGAAGCATCTTCAAAGAGCTTCCTGTTCTGGGTGGTTCCAGCAACGATGCTTCGAACTTCACGGAAGAAGCCTCAGCGGCCTCAGCGGTCCCGAGGTGAACAACCTCTTGACCAGCCGAGAGTGATGCCAATTCCTCTTCTGTAGCTGTCTCGCCCGAGGAAACTACCCGCCCTGGTGCAAGTGGCACCGCGAGACTGTTTAGTCCAGGCCGAGAGACCCGGCTGGAAAGCAAGGCAGCCAGTCCATCACTAGAGGAGTCGCATACACCTGCAGCGCATCTCACTAAAGAAAACAACCCTGCCATTGAACCAACTGGCCGAGGTCTCATGGCACACACAACGGAGAATGAGAAAGCTTGCAAGCCTTCAGGAACTACTTTGAAGCATTGGAATCATGCAGAGCAAGCAGATCATGTCACGAGGAGAATCAAGTATGCAGACACGTGGTTTTGAAAAGATTGGAGCTTTGGTTAGAGAAAGCGTGTTGTTGAGCCTCTGCCCGGGAGGCACTGTGTCTGATGACCCTCGCGGGACGAAGCCGGCCATGCCCGACCACGCCCCCAGGATCTCTGCCAGGGGTCCTCCCTGGCAGCTTGCGTCCGATGAACCCTCGCGGGACGAAGCCGGGCCACGCCCGACCACGCCCCCAGGATCTCTGCCAGGGGTCCTCCCACTGGCAGCTTGCGTCTGATGAACCCTCGCGGGACGAAGCCGGGCCACGCCCGACCACGCCCCCAGGATCTCTGCCAGGGGTCCTCCCACTGGCAGCTTGTGTTTGATGCTTATGACTCTCGCGGGACGATGCCGAGGCCATGCCTGACAACGCCCCCAGAGCCCCTACCAGGGGTCCTCCCACTGATAGCATGCCGTTGTTCAATTCGAAAGTGTCAAAATGACAACCATGATTTGCCATGAGGCCAGCGACAGAAATGGCATAAGAATCTCAGAATGAGCCACGTATGCAACAAGCAGGCACGACGGTACTTGTACTTTTGCGGGAGTGGTCACGCTCCGAGAAGGTGCTGCCACACGCTGAGTTTGCGGGTGGTTTCCAAAGTGAAAGAAAGGAGACCACGTCTACAAGCCTCTTGAAGGTCCACACGTACGCCTTTGGCATGTTTCAACACTGTGGGGCGGTCCTCCTCCACCCTTTCATGCGGACGGGACAACCAATCTGCCACTTTGTTAGCGGCACCAGGAACGTGTACTGCCTGGAAGTCTTGGATGTCGATTTTCTCTAGCAAAAAGGCCAACTCGGCACCGATGAGGTTCAAGGTGTCGTTGGGGCTGGACAACTTGTCGGTGAGAGCCAAGGCGATGATCGAATCTGAACGGAGAGTCAAAGTGACCGAATCTGCCAGACTGTGTTGCCATTGCCACAGAGCTACCAACACTGCCAAAGCTTCACAAATGCCTTGGCTGCTGGAATCTCCGTGCTTGAAGCCAAAGTACTCAGCGTCTCTTTTGGTAACTTTTGCCTCGAGAAATTTGGTCACGACCCCATTGACGGCGAGATATGCTCCTAAGCCCATCGGTGATGCGTCAGTTGTGATGACGGCTTGTGGCCCAAGCTCCGACGGCATAATGTTCACACATCTCGTCGGCTTTGCCTCCACTGCGTTGGCCAATTTGAGGAGCCAAAGGTGAACATGGTTCAGACGATTGATGTAAAACATCGCCTCCTTCCCCCTGTTGTCTTTCCTCGCTTGGCGTCGACGCTCTTCAGCACCGGATGCGATCTCGTCTAATCTGGAGTGGAGGGCTGCATAGAGCATGCGAGTTGCCCACCGTGTGCGGGGAAAGATCCCGGACAGCCATGCAGCTTTACCCGCTGCCCGGCGCAACTCCTTGATGGGAGCCATGCCGCTGCGCCAGCCCCCAAGCAGGCTAGCAAGGTCTTTCAAAAACTTTTCAGAAACTCCTAGCAGGATGTGATCATGTTGGGTGTGTGTGAACACTACGCCACACCAGGTGACTTCTCTACCCCTCGCACCCTTGGCCATTGAGACGATGAAGCCCAAAGCCCTCAAGGTGTAAAGGATGAACGCAAGGATAACGTTCCTTCGCTGTAGACCTCCCTGCAACGCCCAAATGGCGTCATCCAAGTACGTTTGGTGAGCGGCTTCAACCGGGTCCAAGGCGCACTGGAGGATTCTAGAGGTTAACGCAGCTAGTCTGGCCCAAACAAGCGGTGCGGTCTTGAATCCGAATAGAACGGCGATAAACACGATGATTTCTCCCGCCTGTGGGGATGGAGCCATACAATGTTTGATCTCGTCGGGGTGGACGCCCAAATGCATAAAGGCATCATGAATGTCGATGATCACCCACTCCTTGGCCCAGTCCTCTGTGTCCCATCCGTGGCGTTTGTATTTGGCTTTCAAGTTGTTTGTCTCTTTACGTTGAAACTTAACCATGTTGACCACGTCCCTGGGCCTCGGCAATGTGAGTCTTTCGGGAAGAAAGGCCTTCTGATTCCCTGTGCTGCGTTTCAAGTCAATCACAATCCGGCGCTTGAGGCTGCCGTCCTCTTTGGTTTTGAGAATCAAGCCGAGTTTTGAGATGGTACCTTCGCCGTACCGTTCTTTGGCCTCTGCCATGCTGATTCTGCGCAGGTACCCTTCTTTTTCATATCTGCTGAGCTCAATTTCTGCTTCGCCCTCGTTCATCACCACGGACAGGTAATTGCGAAGCGGGTTCATGTCCGAAACCTCCAAAACCTCGGCGGCAGTGATTAACTCCTCTTGTGGTTCGCTAGCATCGGCTTGCGGGAAGATCCCACAAGTCTTTATTTCTCTGGCCATGCCGAGCGGGGTGCCATGCGTGACCCAATGATGAACTTCGGACTCTGGGTCACCTGCCGACCTGCAATAAGCTTCCAACAAGTCCGCATGCAAAGGCGAGGTGAACGTATGAGCATCCTTGAGTCTGACCGCGTCGATGCCCTTTGAGCCCATGACCTTTCGGAGGCACGACCTCCACTCCTTCGTGATGTGCGTGTCTTCCGTCGCAACCTTCGTGCCGTAGCGTTCTGCGAGTTGTGTAGCTTTTGGGTTCCTCGTTACAAATGATTCCCAAGCCGCAATCATTCTCACCCCCAAAGCCCTCGCAGAAGGAAGTCCCAACACCGCCAATGCTGGATTGCGCATGCCTCCCAGATGTGGTCGTTCCTCGCTACCTTGTTTGAGGGGGGACTCCACCTTTCCGTAGCTTCCCGCGCCTGGCTTCCAAGCAACGGTTGCGTCCTTGTTGTCCATGCTGGTGGAAACCCCTGTAGAACTGGATGGACGGTTGATCATGACAATGTTTTTGAATGGGGGGCCTGAACTCGGACCTTTGTGACTAGAATCTGCTTTTGTGCACTTGTAGTCGTATGGTGATACAACCCTCGTGCCCTTTGGCTCCTCCGCCGTTGAAGTGTCCTCCGTCGTCAATTGGATGTCGAACTTAGCCTTGACCTCCTGCGAATTTGGATCTGTGATGTGCCCTGGTGCTTCTGTCAACCGACTGATCTCCTTTGCGAGGTATTCCTCCTTCAACTTCAACCACTCCAGAGTAGCCATCTTATCCAAGTGTTCGACAATGAGGTCCGCCAAACGGTCGCATAGAGCTGGTGGGTATTCGGCAGAAGCTTTGGAGTCGGCGATGGTCACCTCCTTGTGGCCCTTTCCGTTTGTGCACGTGCATGCAGCCGACATAGAGCTCAAATTACGAACTGAACCCAAGAACCTTTGTGGCTTGAAGAACTTGTTCCCCTCCTCGAGCTCAGGTTGGAAAGCGCACGTGGGGAATGCCGCCCAATCCAAGTATCCCTGACGAAGTCCTTCATCCGCGAAGGTTTTGACCTCGGGGAGCTCCCACGCTGATAGATGTTGAGGGTGTGCTGAAGGCGGAGGATTTTCCAAGGACACCGGGGGCTTAATCCCAGACCTCGTACTGGAGTTGAGCACGGCCTCTGCGATGAGCACGCTTCGAGCTGCCCAGATGGTACCTAGGTCTGCCTCGGCTTGCCTATGATGTGGTTGACCTGGTATGCCGTACGGGAACTCTCTTGAGCGGACGGGAGGGGGACCACCGGGTATCTCTTTCCATCTTGCCTTTGAGAAAGAAGAACACGGAAATCCCGCGTGAAATCCATCCCAATTACCTGCTTTAGCATCGGCTAAGTGATGAATGAACGGATCGTCGAGAGCCAGGTCGCAACCGGTCGCCAAGTCACATGATGTAACGTTGACGTTCAGTCCGCGCGCTGTGGCCTTGACTCGAATGGCGGTGCCCAAAGGATCCCGCCGTCCCGCGAAATGATGAAGGTACCTGAAAACCCTGGTCTCCTTATACTGCTCGAATGTTGGTGTGCTCGTGTCCTTAATGTTGTGGTTGGAGTCATCTCCGCGTCCTTGTTGATGACCCTTTCCCCCATCATTACCTTCGTCACCGGGTGGAGCGTCGCCTCGGCCCTTCTTGGAATGAGTGGAGCCTTTCGCGGTCGAGGGTCGTTTCCTCTTCTTTTTGCCGTCCGCATAAACCATGACCGGCACGAAGTAAAGCTCACCCGACGACAACACCAGCAATCCGAGTACACTCATTTCTTTTTCTGCGGACAATCCTTTGAGGGGTGCTCTGGCGAGCCACAAATTGTGCAGCTGTGCTCGCGCTTGACCTTGGATTGGCACGGGGCTCCAGGAGGTAATCCAGCGCAAGGTCCGTTGCCATTGTTCCACCCATAACACTTCTGGCTCCCCTGACTTGGATTTCCGCTTGCGGCGCCCTTTCCGCTGCTTTTGCCACCACCTGGCACGAAACTTGTAGCGGAAGCGCGAAATTTCTTTAAGTCTTCCCTGTCCTTGATTCGCTTCCTCTTGCGTGCTATGGCCTTCGTGGCGTTGCCCTTGTCCATGCCGGTAGGAACTTCTGGAGGGGGAGTGATGGCAGCTAATCCACCCGGAATGTTCGCTGCCGCATACTCCTCTTGGGGAGTGCTGGGTATGCCCCTGCCCCCCTTGGCCAACCAAGTCAAAGCAGGTTGATGTAGTTGTTCCTGCCAATAGTCCTGACTGTCCAAGATCGCCTTGAAGACGGCATCCCAAGGATTCGATGATGACCAACCTGGTGGTGGTGAATCTCCCGCTGCCACTCGCATCGTAATCCTGTGGGCTATCCTTGCCGATAGCTCCGCACGGGCTCGGTCTTCCGCCGAATAGACAAGGTGCCAACAGTTTGTGTACCTCCTGGCCATCCTCTCCACGAAGTCTTCGTATGCTTGCAAACGAGCGACACTCACGGCATTCAACATGATCAATGCAGTGCGGTAGACTTTGAAACATGCCGACCACTGGGGAAAGGACGTAGGTCCAGGAAGCTCTTTTAGCATGTACTCCCCCTCGCCTACGGTGACATACGACCTGTACTTCGAAGCCTTTAAAGCCCTGCGCGCAAACGGGACAAAGACTGAAAACTCTGCATACGGAGGTAGGCCTGAGCTCGTCCTGCGTTTCAGAGCAAGGTATTGCTCCAACGAAGGTTCTGATTCCTCCGATGGGGGTGCACCCATTGTTGTGATGTATCTCTCGAGGGCCTGGAGAAAGTCTTTTGAGCTGTTCTTGTCCACGATCAGCTCTGAGTCGTCCGATTGGTCGAGAATTGTCGCCATTTTCACTTTCCGCTCGCCGTCCACTGTCACCGCCAGTGCCGGAGATGAAGTCGTGGTGGTTTCCAACCTCCAAACAAGCCCCACCTGAGTGGCCTGAACTACCGAAGGAGTTGTTCCGTCTGCCAATTGCAAAGTTTCCACAGATTTGGCGAAGATATTGGCCGGAATGGCGGCCAAGTTGCGAATCTCGTCGGCGAAATCGCCTAACTGTTTCTCCAACGCATCCCAAACTGCCTGTGGCACCTGATAATGGTTGCGGAGTGCCGAAAGGGAGTTCAAGGAACCCATAGCAGTCACAGGAGGAAACATGGCCGCTCGCGAGGAGAAGAAAAGGATAGAAAGGCAAAAGAAAGTTCATGTCTCCGGTTGGAGACTCGAGACTCGAGCATAAGATTACCACCGACCCTCTTGCAATCGGCGGTTTGTCCTACACAACAACTTCGCTGCGCTCACATGTTGCTGCGCAACAACAAAAAACAGAAGCACACAAACAAGGAAACAAACCAACAACACAAGCATACAAGCAAAAAAACATGCACATACACATGCACACACACACACACATAATGAAGCAAGCATGCAAGCAAGCAAACAAGCAAACGGTTGATACTTTGCATGAGCATAGCCCGCCAGGTGCGAACACGCAAGCAAGCAAGCAACCAAGCAAGCAAGCAAGCAAGCAGGCAGGGAGGCAGGCAAAAGACAGACGGACAGACCGACGAGCTAGCAAACCAAGCAAAGAAGGAAGGAAGGAAGGAAGGAAGGAAGGAAGGAAGGAAGGAAGGAACCCAGGAACGAACGAACTAAAGCAAATCAAAGGCAACAAACGAACAAACAAACAAACAAACACACACACACACAAAAAACAAACAAACAAACAAACAAACAAACACACAAACACACAAACACCCAAACAAACAGACTAACAAACAGACAAACAAACAAACAAACAACACAACACAACACAACAGAACAGCAAACGCACAAACACAATAACGAACAAACAAACAACACAACCGAACAACAAACAAACGCACACAAACAAATAAATGAGCAAACCGACGAACTAACAAACCCGAACGAACCAAGAAAACAAAAAAACAAAACAAGAGACACACACACACACATTCAGCAAGCTTTGGCAAAACACAACCGCAGTGTGAGTGGCTTTGGGGTCGGTCCCAAATTGTGCTACGCCGATCAGCCGATAAGCCGATCAGCTCAGGCACCCACTTCTGACCTGGATTGCGAGAGGGTAAGGAGGCCGGTGGCCGGTGAGCCGATCGGCCGACTAGCCGGGGGGAGGGATCGGCTGATCGGCTTCCTCCCCCTCCGTCGCACCTCGCATTCCAAGTCAGGACTGGGTGGCGGCTGGGCTGATCGGCTTGTCGGCTGATTCACCTCGCACTCCAGGTCAGGAACTCAGGAATGGGTGCCCCGGATCTTTTCTTTCTGACCTCTTCAATCCCTCGAACTCCGAGGGCGGCGCCCCGGAAAGAAAAATCAGAGCTCTCCAAACAAACAGACAGACTAAGGCAAACATTACAAACAAACAAACAAACCAACAAGCACACAAACAAACGATCGAACGAACAAACGAAAGCAAAACACACCACAAACACACAACGGCAAACAAACGAGCAAGCAAGCCAACAAACAAAATCCAACAAACTAACTAACAAATGCCGCCGGTGGGCGAGTCTTTCACAGCACGAGTCCTGCACGGATTGTTCGTAAAGCGAACATTTGCAAGCTGAGCCTACACTCAAAAGTAACGGCTCTTCAACAGTGCATTGGCCATAAGCAAGCTCGTCCAAGATGCGCCGCCCATGCACTGGTGCGTCGGTCGAAAGATGATTTAACGACCCAATGATGGTCGCAGCTCGTGACTTTTGGAGCATCTGTGCCGCTCTCTGTGGTATTTGTAAGTAAGAGATAAGACATGTTCCTCATCGACCCGCGGAAGCGGCGAGGTGTCGAGGGGCGGGGTAGGACCGAGAATCTCACATCAGGAATCTTCGAGCCTTCTGCTTCAGTTCCTTGTACTCCTTTTGGACAGTGAACCTTCGTGCGATCAAGAAGAGAACTGTAGCCGCAGTTAGCTGCTCCTGTTGCCAAGGCTGGGACATGAAGCTCTTGTAAGCCACGAAGTATGCCTGCAGCAGATTCTTGCTGAAGGCGAGCTGCTGTGCGGATCTTCAGCTGGGATGGACCTTTTCGTTCGCGCTGAGCTTACTCTCAACGCGTTCATCGAGCACATCCACAAGGGCCTGCAGGATCCATGGCTTGCAAACAGGAGGAATCCGAAACTCGTGAAGCAGCAAGAGGAACTGGAAAGGCCGAAGAACGGCAGGGCTCGGACTCAAATCAGCTCTTAGGACTCATTCAACAAGATGCCGAGATATGCCGAGCCTGCAGATCCTGGTGAAGTCCAAGAATCTTGGTTCCCCCTTCTGTATCTACCAGAAGCTCCTGGACAGCATCTCAAGATGCAAGAATTCTTCGGAAGCTGGCTACACTGCTGCGACGGCTGCAATCTTTCTTTGCAGGTGCTTTTCAGCTTTTCATCACCAAAATTCAAGATTACGTGCCTCTCGCTTTTTCTGTCTGTCCAGTGCTCGCTTTCTGTCAACATTCAAGGAGGACAGGAACCTCAAGCAATTCGGATGAACTGTCCAACTTTAAGCACTCAACAGGAAGTTGAGGCCACAGCGAACTTTCGGTGGGCACCAGTGCCATGGCTAAAGGCCCGGCCCAAGGCCCTAATCTTCATCTCAATCGAGCCCGCATCTTACACAAAATACTCTGGTGACATGCTTTTCTGCGTGTCTTGCTGCTCTGAAACCACAGATCGGAGGACTTTTGGTGATGGCTGTCAAACCATTCGGCCTTGCTGTGGAGGGCAAGGCACTCACCGCGCGCATGCCCCTTGTGCACTGATCTTAAACTCGGATGACGGTAGCAGGTAGCAGTTTTTGACTCCTCCACTTCGTGGTTTCAGGAATCAGCTGCCAGACTCAGGTCGGAGCCCTGCCCAAGCACTCCTCTGTGTCTGTTCTGTGCTCTGATCGTCTTTCCAAGACGGCAGTGCTGAACCCGTACGGAAGCATGTAGATGGCAGGTGTGCCTTGCTAGGTTGGAAGGAACCAGAGCAGCTGCTGCCGACATCACATGTTTCAAAAGTGGCGGCCAGCTAGCCCTGCGCTGAATTGCTTGCACAAGTCACTGTTCCCTTACCCGGCCTGGGCAACAGCTACTCGATTCGATGCCACTCTTTCTTGGGTCCCCGCATATGACACCCGCCAATCAGCGCCTCGTCTGCAGCTCGTAGCTCCCCCAGTGGCACGTCGCAAATGGCAGTCCGGAGCCTTTGTGAGAGGAAGCCCTCTGGTCGCCTGCTCTTTCGAAACACTGCAGCAATCCAGGCCGCCGGCGCATGAGCAAATCTGTCCTCTTGCGTGCTTAGCCTTCATGGAGCGCGGACAAGTGCTGCTACAGCAGCGAGAGAGATAGAGAGAGAGAGCGAGTAAAAAAACAGGATGCTTAAACAAGAGGCTCATCCCGGTTGATGTCGAAGGAGCTGAAGATCCTGCAGAACACGTTGCAAGCAGTGCTGTCAGGTCTTCAGCTGTTGCAAACCTGTCGCGGGTCGCTGCGGAGAAGTTCTCGCTGACGAAGGACCGGGCCTTTGCCTGCCAAACTCCCAAAGCGACCTTGGCCCTCTCCCTTCTGGGCACCGCGGCACCACCTCGCTGAGGAAGTTGATCTTTCTCTGCGTGCGCCTCAGAAGTCTCGCGCAGTGAGATTTTGGCGGGTCCCAACTCCCCCGCTCAGGAATCCACTCGCTGAGAAACGGCTTGAGGGTGGACCAGACAGCCTTGCCCCCACGGCCCACGGGAGACAAGAACGGGATGGTATCGAGTTTTAGATGGGCCTACTGATGCCTACTGCAATCAAACGGAATCGATCGTTTCATACCGGGCTGACGATCAGGGCGGCCTGCGCAACCCACGAAAAATCCACGATGAGGATGCAGTTCAGACGATCTGCAAAAACCTGCAGCTGAACACAAAGCTCGGAATCCGGACAAAAATTCGGCTGTAATAAGCCGAGCTCTGCACCACTCCGAAGTTGTTGGCTAGATCTTTAAACGCGAAAAGATCCATGTTCAGATGCGGCTGCAACCTGGCCACAGCACAGAGCGGAAGAGAGCGCAGAACAAGGCAAAACAATTCTACTGTTCGAATGTGGGCTCGATGACACTCTCTATTGATGACCGTTGGATGATGCTAGCCTGCCATAAAATTACTCACATCAAGGTTGACAAAAAGCCGGGCGAGTCTCAAAATTCATTCCAAGAGAGTGCACACTAGTGCCTTCATAGCACCCGAGGCCGTGGCTGGATCATGTCAGCAACCAGAATTGCCTGGCCGTCCTCCTGGGCAAGCCGCGTCGCTGCCTTAGCTTCCAGAGCCAGTTGGTGCCTAAAGTTAAAACGGATGTTCCATTTTTCCCCAGGCAAACGCAGTCTCGCCTCAAAGGCCAGGAAGACTTGCGGAATGAGCGCTCGCAGGGGCTCCGTCTGGCTCCGCGCGCTAATGTAAATCGTCGGACGGTTCTGTCGATCCCGTCCGATGATCCTCATGTCACAAGCCGCCTTGCATCGCATGCACTGAAAAAGTTCTCGTTCCCGAACGCGACATTCGATGGCCTTCATCAACATTGGCGTGGCCTGTGCCAGATTTCCCTGGGATGCTCGCAGCATCCGCCGTACGGTGGAGAGTGAAGTCCACTCTTCCAGTTCTGGGAAGCCCGCCTGAAGCTGTTTCTGAAGCTGCTCATCGAGATCGCCCTCCTACACAGGACGCTGGATGGTCTCAGTCTTGCATTGGGTGCTACGGACATCAAATTAAATCACGCTGCCTCCATGCGACGCCGCCACTGTTCCAGCACCTCTTCCTTGAGCACAGGCACAAGGTCTTCGTAGACCTCATGCATCGAAACCAACCGTATCGATGTCTAACCTCTGAACACGTTTCTGGACCTTCTGGATTGTCATAAAACTTCAAGCAACCATCGCTTTAACAGTACCGGTGTACGAACTAATTGATCACTTCCTGATATCTGTCGGGGCTGCATCTTCTGGAAGAAGCGGCATGTCATCCCTGAACGTCGGTTCCGGCAGCTGGCGTATTGATGCCCTCTCGGCAAAGGTGCGGAAACCAGCCTGGCGCTTGGACGGGTCATGACAGGCGGAAAAACGACGGCCGAAGTTAAGTGAACCTTTTGTACGTTGCTCCTTCATTAGATGCCATTCAGGCCCGTCGCGACAGTTCCGCTGAAGCTACCGCCGTGTGTCAAAAGCAACACCGAGATGGGATGCGTCGCCGAAACCGGCGCTGCTCTCGCACCCATGGAACTCACAAACCAAGTAGACCCTCGCCGAACAGCCAGTGCGCAACTTCATGCTACAATACGAAATTGGGGCGACGTCTGACCTGGCGTTTGGCCGATTCTCTACTCAGTACGTGCCTCCGGCACCAAAGAAAGCGGGCGGTTGCGGGGCAATTCTCCACTGCTCCGGCGCTCCAGTGGCCATCTACGGGGGCGATGTTCAGATTCGCCAGAGAACGTGCGCTGTACCATCTCTTCCCGAGTCTCGTAGCAGTCAAAGAAGACTTGGAACTCTTCAGTCTCCGGAACATCCTGCCAAGAGTGGTGCCTGACAGGGGTACGCTCGCAACTTCGCGACACTGGTCAAAATTGTCTGCGGCGCCTGTTTTTCACAAGCAAAGCAGCGGCTTCGTCCCCCCGTGTTGTGCAGCAGGCATAATTCGACACATCCCCCAGTGCGTTGCCCATGACGCGGCGAGGCGACGGATCTGCGTGCTCAATGCACTAACATCACCAGCAAGAGCTTCTGAAAAAAGGCTGAGCTGAGTGGTGTGACAGTGCTGTGAAAGGTAGCTGGGCTCCAAATGCATATCAACAACGGCATGCTGCTTCACTATTTCCTATAGGTGATATCGCCCTACCTCTAACACGCCTGACGGGCGTAAGTGATATGTCGTACCTGCAGCCGCATGTGTGACACAGTAGCAAGAGGTGCATGTGTTTGGCTTGCTCTGGCACGTGGAAAGCAGCGTCTGGACCCAGCTTCATGCTGAACAGTTGCAACGAAAACTGTTTTAACGATCGCCAGAAGATTCATTGTGTGACAGAGCAGTGGCATCGGTCTGACTAGATGCAGCCTTCTTCGTTGTGTTCCCGGGTCGAGAGTCTTGCTGGTCGGGTCCGTCAGAGCCTAGAAGTCTCGCCTGCCGGCAGTCATCTTGCAGTGCTGTTAAGGAACATCGAAGTGCCCGCATGGCGGAGGAGATGTTCGAAAGCCGATTGTCCCACTTCTTGGCTTCAGGCGTTCTCTTACCACAATGGCGTTTCACGCGATGCAGGAATCCTGCTTGGATGCCATCGACTTGTTGTATTGCTTTCTGGGCAGCAGACTGCATGCGATCCCGCACAGACTCTTCAAGCTGAGTGTCGGCATTGTTGAGAGCAGTGAAGGACATCCAGAAGCGCTTCCTCACCATCAGCTGCAGCTCCCGCGAGACAGCATCAAGCCTACTGCCCCGCAGCCGCAACAGGCCATCCTGCAACTCCATGCGGGTGACCTTCCCATTGTGATCGTCGTCAATCAAGCACGTTAACCGGGTTGTATCAGAAGGTAGTGCAATCTTCATGTCATCGAGCACGTCCCGTGCTGGGACGGATCGCAGAAGTTTCACATATTCCCCCTCTGACAGGTAGTTGCGCCTCTGTCTACTTGCAGTTTCAAACAATTCAGTAATCCTGTCTCTCAAATCCTCAAACTCGAAGTCCTTGTCGTCTGCCGACACAGGTGGCATCTGTCTAGCAAGTTCCATGACTCGTTCGCAGACGACGCCGGTAACCAGGTTCAAGAGAGCGAAATTGCTGAGGAAGATGAAGATGATCAAGTACACTGACCAATAGTCAGAGTCTTGCAACATTGCCTCCGAAATCTCCGGCCATCCTTCAACCAATACTAATTTGATATGCGTCAGAAAACTCAAAGGAATGGTTCCAAAAAAAGTCTGGAGCTCAGGGCTTGATGCATTCCCCAGGGCCTCTGAACAGAGGAGGGCCCCCACATAGGACAGAATTCCTAGCAAGATCATTGCATCCATGATGGTAATCAGCGTGCTCACCAGACCTTTGACCAGGAGAGCCAAGGCAGGCACGATTGCCAGAATGTGAACAAATCTCAGGACACGGAGAAGTCGAACTGTGCGAACAAGTCCAACCATCGCACCCGGCAGCGTGATGTCAGTTAGCTGGAGTACAATGTATCCTCCTGCGCTTAGCAATAAAATGAAGTCCAACACCCCGAGGGCTGTGCGCATGAATTTAATGCCCACTGCACGGAGCCTCAGAAAAAATTCGACAGTGAATACAGTATATAGAAGACAATCCATGGTCAGGACGAAATAGAAAGCAAAGCCACCTCGTTCTCTAAGGGCGCCACCAGCGAGCTGACTCTGCTCTTCCTGGTCTAGCTGTGCAGCAAATTCGAGCTCCAAATCTATGCCCATTAGCAGCGCTTGCACGGTAATGGCTACTCCAATTATCACGGATGCTTGGTCAGTCTGAATCCAAGCATTGCCTGCACGTCGAACCCGACGAACGAAGGTGTCGTGGATTCCGTCTAGCTTGATCCATTTCGGAGAACCGGTAACACCAGTCAACATCGATGAGGAGCCAGATCTCATTGTTCGAAGACTCGTTGGCTTCTTCGTCACTTCTGGCCCCCCCGGCATCACCATGTCAACTCCGTTCACGCCTTTCATACCTCCTATCCTTCCTCGAAACATCTCCGTAGGAACGCAGGAACTACAACGGGGGCTGAAATCAAAGTGTGGCGTGCCCACTGCTTAGCAGTGGATCCTGAGCCAAAGGAAAGACTGCGGAAGAGGTACCTTGAGTTCAATATGGACAGGGCCTGTGACACGGGTGGACAGGGCCTGCGGATAGGGCCTGTGACACGGGTGGACAGGGCCTACGGACAGGGCCTATGACAGGGGTAGACAGGGCCTGGGCTACACACAGGTAAAGGATAGGCTGTCGTGTGGGGTTCTTTATGGACAACTGATGGTGATCGACATTTTCGCATTAGTGTCCGATTCACAAAACGGAGTTCGAACAACACCTGCACCTCAATAGTCATCGTCATCCTAAACCCCCTGAGCGGCCTCCAATCTGCCAAAGTACTCGCAGCTGTCATAGCACTAGAAGAAGCACTAGAAGAGTCACAACCAAAAGCATCAGCATGCTAGTCCGGGCATTGGCCCTTGCTTTTCCAGCGCAGTGTCGGCACCACCTGGACAATTCTTTGGCCCATGGATGCTTGCATTAACCTGCAGCGATGACGGGCGAATATGCTTGCACGTGCATCAGATGCAACAGATTTCGGAACCCCTCCAGCTCGGTCAGCTTAGTTGCAATACAGATTCAGCAGAGTAGCTTCGTCCAAGAGCAGGAGCATTGCCTTCCAAAGCAAATCACGGTAGCTGTAAACCGCTCCGACGGCCCAAGGAGTCATGCCTGTCTTTCGGCATGCTGTGACCGATCATGCTCCACGAGGATTGGCGCCAAGCGCCTAGCTATGCAATATGCAGTGCATGACGGCATGAATGCAGCAAGCATGGCGGCAGGCACTCTGGCCTGAAATCGGCATCCGCTTCTCCAAAGGCACAGAGCCGGCCACGGAGCCTGAAATCGGTCACCTCAAACATCTGCACGGAGCTTCTGCTGCCGGCACTGTCGAAGGACAAACTGCGGGCCGTGCTGACGGGCATTGAAGGCTGCAGCCCGACCTCGCTACTCGCAGCTACTCGCGGCTACTCGCTGGTGCTAAGTTGCTTCCTCGGGGGCCGGCCAGGCGCTGATCCCACGAGAAACGACAGAGCCAGCGAAGGAAACCTGGAAAGGAAAGGAAAGCAGGGCCGGGGCATGCCGGGGCCGAAGGTGTCGCAGTCTCGAGATGACCAAGGCCTCCTCTTCACACAACTGCAGGGCTGACCGTGCCTGTCGAAAGGCCGGCAGAAGTTTGCTGAAAGATTGATGGGATTTGCACCTGATGGACAGCAGGTCTTCTCCAGGCGGCACCTCGAGAAGCACGAAGACTTTCTTTCGAGAGCTTGCTCTTCCATGGTTAGCACAAGCTCCGACGGCCTGCTGGGAAGGAGAATGCCAGGACCTGTCACCACGTCTCGGACCAGTTGACTGGAGATTTCCCTTCTAAAACGATGGATGTGCCACATTCTGCAATTCAGCCGTCCCGAATGGGTCAAATTTGTATCAGTGTCTTCGGCTACAGCTGCGAAAACGAGTCGAGCCAACGAGACACCTCCCTCGAAGCAACAACATAGGTCTACTTTCTGGAATGATGGCAGTTGGTAGCCATGCTCATACTAGCAGTAGTAATAGTAGCAGCAGCAGCAGCAGCAGCAGCAGCAGCAGTAGTAGTAGTAGCCGTAGCAGCAGCAGCAGCAGCAGCAGGAGCAGTAGTAGTAGTAGTAGTAGTAGTAGTAGTAGGAGTAGCAGTA